AACCATATCCCTGCCCGGTCACCATTTTTTCTTTCCACCATTTATATGTTCCAAGTGATAATAATACAGTAATATATTTCCTATATCTCGCGAGTGATAGGCAATCACTCGACTTCTACCGGAGTCCTTTAGCATTGCAATCTACACGATCCTGTCATACTAATAAGACTCATAGGATAAAGATATATATATATATATATGCAACTGGGTTTCAATCAACTCCTTAAAACTTAATGCACAACTATAATTTAAAGTGCAGAAAAGTAGGGGTTATGCACCGGGACTTGCCTGGGTAAGATTTAATCAGAAGTTAGATTTCCATCATGGCGGCATGATCTCCAAAAGCACCATTTCTCCAGTAACTCCCGATGACTCCGCAATCCATCGACGTCCCTATTATGATATACAATGCGATACAATGCAAAGACGTAATTAATCAACTGCAACCGTGACTCGTAAAATATGATTTACGCCTCTCAAGTTAACGAGCTAGTTCTAACGACGACCGTACTTAGGCTACATATCCATGTTGTCAAATAAGGCGTTATTTTCCAATAAATGTTTTAGTTATACAAATCCATGTTGTTTCTTTATTTCATTCTATCGATTTAATCTTTATTTGAAATAGGGCATCATTATCTACCTAGCAAACTAATTATTCTTGAGCTACAAAAATTACAAGGAGCAGCTAATAATATTAGTAATTTACTGTAAAATTTTTAGAGTTAACACTATCACCGATTTATCACGGAAATTCCTACAAGTTCACCTTTTAACAATATTAAGCTTGTTAAAATAATTAGAGCAATCCTAAAAACATACCGAATCTATGCGAGCAAAATACACTATTATATAGATCATGATTTTAGGAACTCAACAAAACTAGTTTGATATTTTTATGATTTTTCTATGATTTACTATGAATTTTACAAGTTTATTTACGAAACTAAACTAACAATTGCTTTAGAAAACTAAAAGACCAGCGGCCACCTATTCGTCCCAACGCGGAAATCCGGGCACACGTGGCCCAGACGCGACGGCAGTCCAGCAGCGCGGCCTGACCCACAAGCGCGCGCGTGGCCTACTGGCCAGGAGCGGCCCAGCGGAGCAGTCGGCGGCCCAGCAACCAACCCTCCGCGCGACGCAGTAACGGGCGCGCGGCCAACGGCCCTAGGCCGGCCCAGCGTGGCAAGCAGCAACGGCGCGAACGTTCCAAACAGACGCGCAGCCAGTGGCCCAGCCACGGCGGCCACAGGCCGGCCCAGCGCATGGCCCACCCATTGGCCTGGCGATTTTGCAAAAATGACCCTACGTTTACCTTAAACTGATCCGCAGTCCCACACGCACTGTTCATGTGAGTCACGTTAATGCATAGAGAACCCTGAACAAAAATTTTTACTTCACTTGTTACCCCTCTCCCTCCTATGGTGAAGCAGAGGAGCACCGGCCGACGGTCAATCCCGGCCGGGAAGGACACGGCGACGGTGGGAAGCCCGTCGGCGAGCGGCACAGGCGCCCGCGCGCGGAGGTACGCGGCTATGATCGGCTCGCCTGCCCACAGCGCGGACCGAGGCGGTCCAACCATGAGCGCCGACGACTGGCTGGCCGCAACGGCAGCAGCGGGCCACGACGACAGACTAGTGTTGCGGCAGCAGCGGGCCAGCAACGGTGGCGCGGCTGGCTCCGGGATGGCATCGTGTTGCGAGCTGCAACAACGACTAGCCGAGGGCGGCCGTTCCGACGGGGAGTGCTCGACGTAGAGGTGCAGAACCACGCGCGGACGACAGCGGGGCGGCCTGGTGCAGCGGCAGTGGCGGTGGCTCGAAAGGACAGCGCCCTGGCCATGACACGATTGGAGGCGGCGGGGTGCTACGGCACAGGTGCGCGACGCGGGAAGGGAAAAGGAGGGGCGATGCTGTGGGGTAGCGAGCAGGTTGCGGTTCGGCCGGGCGCTGCGGCACGGGCACGCCGAGGGCTCGGCAAGGCCAGCAGAGGGAGGGACCGGCGATGGTCGGCAGGAGGTGAGGCCGGGGTGATGGCGCGGTTCAAGAAAACAGTGCTGCGGAGACGGAGGTCCAGCGCGGGACCGAGAGGCGAGGGCTCGCTCGTGCGCCGGTGGCCGGGCGACTGAGCAGTAGCGGGGGAGCGGGGAAGGGCAGCGCTGCGATTCATGCGTGCGCTCGCGCGAGAGAGAGGGGAAAACCGGCGACGGCGGACTGGAGCTGGGACGTCTCCTCCTTGGCAACAGAAAAAGAGAGGGAGGGGAAATAGGTCTGGCTCAGGCTTGATCCTGTCTTGGCGCATTGCGGGGAGGAGCATCCCCATGTGCACGCAGACAGCGTCGCAGCGGTGTAGGGCCAGGACACGACACGAGACGGCAGGAATACAGCGCAGACCGAGACGACTCAACTTGGCGGGACGCGAAGGCAGACAACAGCGCTGCGACAAAGATAATAACGCGACGACACAACTGATGCAGACTGCGGTACGGCTCCGTCGGCGATATCTAGCAAGCCCGCGCACACGGCGACGTGGTCCGACGACGCGATGCGACGCTAATAATTCGGATGATGGATTGATTCAGAGCATGGGGGACGCACCACCGTATTCAAGCGGCCAGAACGGCAGTGAGGCAAGGACAACTGCGGCACGGATTCACCTCAATAACGCGCGCCAGAGCACGGACACGAGGGAGCACGCAGTAGCCGAACACATGGACGTCACGTGGCTCTACTGGTTGCGCGCCTGCGCGATAGACGACGCGACGCGGATGTGAACAACAATTTGTTTATAAAAATTGTTTTCACGCTTAATCAAATAAACAAGTCATTCGCTATTCATTTGCCCTCATGTATTTTTAAACACCAGTCCATGCGTCATACTAACTCGTAGAAACAGAACATCTAGGAACTAATTAACCCGTTGTTCAATATAATTCGCCAAAATGATACTTTTAACATAAGTTAAAATTTTAAAATCCGAGAAAATCGTTTCGGTAACTTCTCTTAGGTCTAAACCTTGGTGCTAAGTGAGCTCATAACACCAGAGGTGTTACACGTATATACCGATGAACTAAACAATATTAAGAAGTTTTTCCTTAAATTATGATTTTTTGACAAACTTTGTCTAATATAAACATGAGCACCATGTAGAATTCCTTTTTTTATTGTAAGTATAAAATTTAGAAATTATAATAATACACTATATTCTGGATCGGAGGGAGTACCTTACGTGAAATAGGGTGCGTAGAACACGCCGCAAATTTAGCAAGTCAAATACACACTCTTAAGGTGTGTTTAGTTGGTGGATGAAAGTTGCATCGTATATCCTAGTTGAATGGATGTAGGCTGAGTGGAACCGTATTTTAAAAAATAGGTGTTTAGTGAAGCTGCATGAGCGTTGCCAAAAAATAGAGATACTATTTGGTTGTCTGTATGAGCGGATGCACTCTACCAAACCTGTTAGACAAGCACGTAGGACCCTATATGATACACTGCATCCACTTAGCTAGAATGGCCGATGAAGCTCATTTTGAGCTTATCCATCGGGCCAGGATAAAAGCATATTTTTATATCCACTCTTACAGGCTGCATCCACTCAGCGGCTTATCTTATCATCCATATTTTTCAGCTTGTTTTTTCAGTCGGAATAGTATTTTCTTTCGTAACAAATCAGTTGGAACAGTGTTTCGGCTTGATTTTTCAGCGAAGCGAACGGAGCCGGCAGATAACTAAACAAACTTTTTTTCTCAGATTGGTCCCGTTCGGCTTGCTGAAACTTACCTGAATTGACTGAAAACACTGTTCTGTTCTGGCTAAATTGTTGTGAAAGAAAAATATTGTTCCAGCTAAAAAAACAAGTTGAATAGTGCGGATTATAAGGTAAGCCGAACGGGAGCCATATGGATCTAGCCAGCCAGGACGAAAGAGACGTAGGCAGCCAGACACACCCCTACTCTCTTCTCGAGTTCTGTTCAGACATCTTTTATGATCTTCTCGGAAAATAGAAAAGATAATTCACACGAAATGGGATAAGAGAATGATGATTATATGGAGTGGTGTTGCTTGATTTGTTGCACCAGAACAGAGCAGTGCATGTCAGCCTAGCTGGATGGTAGTTGCGATGTTGCTAATGGCCCTGCTGCCACCTTGTGCGCTCTCTTCTTGGAAGTTCGTGTATCCCAGCGATTCCGTTCCGCTTTTCTGGACAGGTGGTTCAAGTGGTAGTGGTTGAGCAACTCTTCATTCCTGTCCTGGGCTGTCATTCCATGTCCTTGGGCCCCAAAGTTTTGGCCCAAATGAATTCTTGACAAATTCTAAAGGCCCATCCACTCCTCTATATGGTACGGTGGTAGAGTGGTGCTCTGTTCCTATGCTGAACTACTAGGTGGAGAGATTGTTGATATATATACTTTGTTGAAGTGCTGTTATATATATCTAGAATAGTACATTCATAGATGGTATGCAGTGTCAGTGTGTCACATAATCATAAGACGATTGAACAACAACTCATACAATAGGTTTGTCTTTTAAGTTGTCTTAAAGTAATTTATTACCCTTAATTTATGCAATCAACAGAGAAAAGTTTGAGTTGCATGGTAACATTAGATCATAGAATGGTAAAATAGTTATCTTATAGTCCTTTTTTTTTTTTGCTCATTCAGCCATCTCTCTCATCTTCCTCTCTTTTCCACATCAGCAAAAATCATAAATGACATTGCATGAGACAACCTTTAAAACTGCTGGCATGTAGCGATGTACCTGCTTATACCATGAAATTGCTCTAGCCACTTTATATGGAAATGTTTTTGTTCGATTAAAGGGGGGAAAATGTTACTGCCATCAAAGTTCGACTTGGTCCTTTGCTGCTTTATTCTGAACCAGAGGCGAACTTTTTGGAGAATTTGTACAAGAGGTGAAATGAACTGATCGAGCCACCATCTTCGGGTTTTCACTGATGATGGCTGACGACCAACGCTCATGCAGCCTTGAAATGATCCATCAGAACCATGCAAACTCATGAATATCATCGTCACCTCCCGGCCCCAGCAGCAGCGCCTCCAGATCGTCGTCAAGCTCGTCACCGCCGAACTGACCGCCTAGCTCTATGCTGTCTGCGACCACGCCGCGCCACGGGCTCAGGAAACCCAGCTCACCCATGTCGAAGTCGAGGTCGAGGTCGATGTCGATCGACAAGTCATCCTCCGGCAGATGATCCTGTCGCACCTCCACGGTCGGCGCCTTGACGACGACGACCGTCTGCTGCTCCGCCGCGTTAACGTGATCGTCGCCCGCAGCAGCCTCCAACGCACAGCCGTGACGTGCATGGGCGGCGGGCTGCACCGCGTGCAGCATGGTGGTGCTGGTGCAACGCAGCGCCTTGCTCCGGACCGGGCTTGCCTCCGGCGGCCGCCCGTGCGCGTGAGCCTTGGGGGCAGCGTCGCGGACGGTTCTGGTCGGTTGTGAGAATGGCCTGCGTTTCGATGATGCGCCGGCGGCCTCGCTTTCTTCTTTCGAGATGCTGCTGTTCTTGAGCACCTTCTTGCCAAGCGTCGTGTTCCAGTAGTTCTTGATTTCATTGTCTGTTCGCCCCGGCAGCCGCCCGGCGATCAGCGACCACCTGTCCGGCGACCATGCATGAATGGATGGATTACCAACAAAAACTTCTTCTTTTGGTCACTGAATTTAATTTCATTTATGCATCAGTCAGATCAAGTAAGTTCATCCTGTCTTGATCAAATGCAGTCTTGATCAAATGCATTGACAGCACTGAACAAGGTTCGCTCCGCTTTTCCATTTGTGAAAGAACAATGCTTCTGCGGTCAGACGAAATCTTTTGGATTTTGCAGATTCGGGGAGAGACACAGCTGGAAAGTGGTTGTCCGTGTGCTCTTCCTAGGGTGGTGTGCAGTGTGTCATTTTTCGCGTGCTTTAATATAGAGAGGATGTCTACCTGTCACCATCAACTTTGCTGACCAGCAACTAACTCTCTCAGCCCCCTCCGAGGATAGAGACACTGCACTAACAGCGTAAAACTTGTGCTTCTAGAGATGGAGCCGAATTGGCAAGGTGGTGCTGACAGATTTGCATAAGTGGCACTAGTGGTTATGATAACTGAATACAATTAATCTTACACTCATCTGCACACCAACTTTGTCCAATCAGATGAGTACGACACAGAAAAAAAATCCCCAACAGAAAGTTTCTATCCTTGTGTGTGTACACGCGCCTAATATTCTCTAAACCAAAATGTATGTTGACTTCAGTTTAGGAGGTTTTGAAATGCAAAGGGAGGATCTGGATCAACCGGTGAATGTATGGGATGTTTAGGGGAACTTACCTGTTGCCTAGGAGCCTGTGGAGCCTGATGATGAGCTCCTCTTCGTCATCCGAGATGTTACCTCGCTTGATGCCCGGCCGCAGGTAGTTGAGCCACCGCAGCCGGCAGCTCTTCCCGCACCGCTTCAGTCCTGCAACCGCCAGTGAACTTGTCGACTGACATGCCATGCTTGGGCATTGCAATCATCTACTCGTTTTATCATTTTAGTGAATAGATGATGTGATTTCAAGAAGTGATCAAACCAAACAGAGACGGTGGCACAGAAATCTGAGCCGACATCAAAGCAGAATTTAACTGACAAAATGATAAACATGTGTTTCCAGAGTAAAGATAGAGCAAGAGAGAGGAGTGACACAGACCAGCTCTTCTGGGGAGGCTTCCCCATTTGCCCTCTCCATGCTTCTGGATGTAGGAGACAAGGATGCCATCCTCCATTGAGGTCCAAGCTCCCCTGTTCAGCCCCTCCTTGGGGCAGCATGGCTTCCTCCCCATCTCTCTCTCTCTCCCTCTCTCTCTCTCTGACAGAGATGTATATCACTAGTTCCTTGGCTCCGTAGTTATAGTAGCAAGAGTATATGACTCCAAAGGATACAAGGCACTTGAAGGTTAGATGGGGATTATGCATTCAATTGCCACTGAGATCTGAATTAAACAAGCTGCACAGTATTCCATATTCCATGCACTTATTTTTTTGGTTAAACTATTTAAGGAATGACCCCTCAAAATGTGGGGCACTTATGTTTTTGCCTATGTATAGGCACAGCTGATCGGATGCTTCTTGCATCAGCAGATTCTGATTGAACGGCAGCAAGCTTCGATTTGCAATTTATAGGGGAATGGGATTTTGCAAATGCTGCAAAGTTTATCTGTATTAAGACTCGAAACATCATTTGGAACAGGTCGTTTATCATTAACACACCGATTCCAACCTAACATGTTCTTGATACAAATGCAAATAAGGCATCAATAGCAGGCTTCAAACAGAGCTAAGATTGATACTAGACATACAAATTTTTATCAACTCCGATTCTATTTCATTTACGAAGAAATCAGTTGCAGACTTGCAGTATATAAACAAAAAATATGTTTGAACATTCAAAATTTCTGCTATAAGGTTTTCGGGAAAAAAAAAACATTTCTGCTATAGGAATGACCCCTTAATTAGGAGTACTACCACAGTTCACTAACTGTCGGCACTTCACCTGCACAGACAAATCGACCTACCTATTGTATTGTATTGTATCCATAGGAAAGTAATCGAGGAAGTTGAATAAGAGCTCTAAAAACACCTAAAAGTATATACTAGTGCCAGCAATTTATTTGTAAATGCAACAGATTTAACCTTAGCTAAAATCCTTAAGCCTTCTCTTCAAAACGTCCATAGATTTCTTACGGGCGCTCTGGTGGGTATTACGGTTTGAAAGGCTTCCAAACAGACTGTCTGCAGAATCCTTGTACTTGTCACAAATGATGGACAGCTTCTTGTAGTCCAGTGATCCGTAGTTTCTCTGCCTGATCACCGGATTCATAAAATTCTCAGGCTGGCTACTGAGCAAGAGATTTACGAGCTGCCTAATTTCAACTAAACAATCTCTGAAAGTTGTTTCCTTCCCCAAATCTGACAGCCCCGTGCTGTCAAATTTCTCATCTGCAAATGCTTCCAGCATCTTCAAGTCAATATCAATTCCTAAAACTGCATTGACAGTGAATCTTTTCACACCATCATTTAGAAGTGTGGTCATTATAGAGTCTGAGATGTGGCTCATTGCACCAGAAACCACCTTGTATAGAGCTTCCAAAGGTAGAATCTCCTGTGCTGTCGATACTAATGTTTCAAGATAGATCATAACCTCATTCACGTAGTCATTTGAATTGTCAGGGGCTTCTTCTGCTATCCAGTTGACCTCTTCCAGGAGCACCATGAACTCATCAACCTTGAAATTGGTCAGGTTTATTAGTGCATTATACACTGCATTTTGCGAGGCTTTCAGGACTGCTCGAGCAGTCAAACCAGAATGGGACCTCTCAGCAACACGCTTTGGAATGCCGCACAGTTGGGCAGAGTGCAACAGAAACATACCACATGCTTGCTCAAGAACTGATATATTTCCAGCAAGTTGCATCATCTGTGACATGCCCAGCGAACGAGCATATATCATGTTCAAAAGACTGTCATTCAGTACCTCAATCAGCAACCTGTCTAGGAATGCTTTCACCACATCATAGATGTTCATGAGACCACCGTATGACAAGTAGCTAACAGAATCCTCGATAAAGGACCTGACGATGCGACAAACATCTGGAACAGAAGAGGAGAATGGTGTCACATATGGGAAATCAGGGATTGCATCATCGTGTTCCAGATGAAATGCTGTCACATTCATGTTATACTCATATTCCTTCTTTATAACCATCTGCTCATACGAGTCATTAGTAAGGATGTCGTCTATCTGCTTCCGACATTCAAGAAGAAGCAACTGGTGGTATTTGTCCCTACTTTTCTCAAGAACTTCAATCAACTGTGTGATTCGATAACCGTACTTGTTCACAGCTGCGCCTAGAAGAGTGACATAGTCTTTTATGAGAAGGAAGTGGCTGGCTGTACGCATGCGAGAGAACTGTTCCTCCAGTACAGATGTTATCTTGCCAATAGCTGTCTCCCATGTTGTTTCCACTTGACTCTCCGACAACAATCCATCTGCAGTTCGAAGAACACATTCTTCAACTATAAAAAATCCAGCTACCTGTGCAAGGAAGGGTTGATGGGACTCCAAGAAGGGCTGTGAAGTGGAAATTTGCATGTCCAAGTTGAGTTGCATGAGCCTGTTCTTATAATAATAGTCTCTGAACTTCTCCCCAATACCAAGACATGTGTGCATGTGATGCGCCCGATAAACTGGTGTCAGATCAAAATGTAGTGCTGATTCCTCTTCTGTGTTCTCCAGGTCCAAGGTATACAGATGCTCATCTGGTCCAGCATGGCTATGCCCTTCAGCTTCCCTCTGTCGGGCACGCATTTCCTCATCCTTTTGGCGAGCTAACGACGCCTGGCTTATGGAGGCCTGGCCAATCTGCTTGGCCATTCTTCTAATATGAACAAGCCAATCATTGAACTCACTACAGACTTTCTTCTCTATGTGCAGCTTTATCAATGGTATCTGTCTTGCCACCGCCTTCTTAAGAAGCTTCAAAGGAATATTTCGCAGGTAGCCTTTCTGAATCAGGTCCAGTGTCTTAAGTGCAGGATGAAACTTAGCTTCGGCAATATAATAGTTGCATGTCATGCACAAGCTGAAGACCTTGACACATATCTTCAGCGTTGTTATGGCCTCCCCTACGTTTTTCTTGACAGAATATAGCTCAAGAAGTTCGTCAAGCTTCAGCAGTTGGTCAGTAGAAGCCTCTTGCAGGTGTGAATTCTCGCCAGATAGCATGCCCTTTAACTCATCAGCATCAACTAACACACCACGTAGTTCATCGACAGCAAGGATGAAATCCTCATAGTGAAGTCTGCATAGCTCTTCAATCTCAACTTCCTTCTTCTTCACAATGCTTCTAAGGTTCTGCATGAGTGCTTCAGGTTTCCCAGAGTCAAACGAGTGACGAATGATGGGACCCAAATCCTCACCATTTGCAATAAATGTTGCAAGGCCCAAACCAAGACCTCCATCTCCACTTTCCACGATAGTCCTCTTCTTTGGTTGAGCAGCCATTGTTCAACTGTAAAAGATAACAAACCAGTATAATAATAATGAAATTGTGGATGTAACGACACAGTAATAGATAGCATTGACTGCAATTCATCATTTCAGCCAAAATAAGGAAAGGTTGGGACAACCAGATAACTGCACAAGAGCTTATCATTGTAGCTTTTGCCTTTTTAGTGACACCGGACCAGCTATGGTGGCAGTGGGAGTATGCTATAGCATTTTGTCGGATGGGCTTGTGAGTAATTAAGGGTATATTGGGTATTGAGTTATTAGCTAAAATAAAATCCCTTTTTTTTACACAAAGAACCACAAACAGAATTCTTTGCATATTCATCTTCGAATTTGTAATCATCTACATATTTAATTATGTTATTGACCACCAAAGTGTTTATTTATTATAAATTATTAAAATTCCTAGCTTGATATTCTGAAAACTTACAGACTTCATGTGACATCCGGCCTAGTTTGTATTGGGACAGAGTCCAAACTGTCCGATTACAGTTTAATTATTAAACATCATCTGATTGGGACCGAGGATGAAACGTAATCGGACACGCGCACAAATAGTAGGGGAAGAAAATACTGTTACAGTGGGACCTGCCTTTGCTGCAGGATCCGGTCGCCTTCTTCTCTGTTCAGATGATATAGCAACGACGCAACTAGCCACGCATTGCCACCACACTGCAAATGCACGTTAAAAGGGAAGCAGCGGTATCACCACAGCAGCAGATTAGTCACAGGAACCGGGAAATTCGATTGGGTTCAAAAACCGGTTTCATTACCGAGATCTCTCGTCCGTGTGTGGAGATCGCGCCGGCGGCAGCGTCCGCCGCGGGAGCCGAGGAGGCGGCGAGCCGGAAGGAAGCGGAACCGAACTCGATCGAACCCTTCTGGGGGAAGAGAGGAGAGAGAGGACCGGAGCTAGGCTTTCCATTTGTGAGGCTACAAAAGGCGCGGATGATTGATGGTGGATCCACGAGTCGCGCGCGCTGCTTACCAATTCTGCGGCCTCCTTCCCGACCATCATCCCTGTCAGTTTTCCTCCATCCTCCATTTTAATAAGTATAGGCCTAATCAAAGCAAGTATGGTCTGTGGCTGAGTAAACGAGAAGCATGCATGCTAGATGAAATTAAACTGCTCACCATTACACCATGCAGCAATATTTCGAAACTAAAAAGAGTCATACTTTACAAACCGAGCATCAAAATCAAATTTGAATTTCAGCATTATGTTTGTTATAATAAATGCTTCAAAACAAGACCCACTTAGATATGTTTAGACAAAATTTTGTTAAAGAACACAACGTTTTCCTCATAAAAATTTCTTTTTTATTAAAATATAGGCATGCTGAGCATACTGATGATCAAATAATAAGTAAAAGTAACATAGGTTGCAAATAAGTACCCACCGGGGCTACCCTTCTCAATGTAGACATGGTGGGCTATTCAATGTAGACATGCAGTGCAAAGAAATGTTGTGTAGTTGTTCTCGTTCGTCTAGTACTGGAATGTCGGAACACGGACCACGCGAGCGATGAAGGTGCGCTCTCCCAAAAATCCGATCGCTTCGTCATCGGTGCATCAGTATGTTGGTTTGGCTGTGGCTTGTCGTAAATGATCGTAAATTTTCAGCCGAAATAGTATTTTTTTCACACAAACCAGCCAGCAATACTTCTTTACGAACCAGTAACGAAACGAACCAGCCAACCCCATGTTCGCAATAGATGTCATGATTTGGAGGCACGCTCTCCCAGGTCACCTGTGTACGCTTTGGGACAGGGAAATCGGAACGCATTAGTAACAGAGAATATAATGGCGCAAATCATATCTTTGGTATGCACGAGATAGGAGACCCATTATTCTTGTAGCCCTAGCAGAGAGGAAGCCAAAGGATTGGAAACGAACCTAGACGCCAGCGATGTTACTCAAAGAGTAACCACGGCGTGGAGTAATGGGTAATCACAAGTGTTACTCTAAGCAACGAACAGTGACCACAATATATTACTCCCATAGGAGTTACTCCGAGAATGGCTATTTTGACGAGCACATAATAGACACCACCCGTTGATCCAAGTGGCAAAACCAACCCACCTTAAACCACGTCATGTTATGACAAGCTTTGCACGACCACGCGACACTAAGGCTCAGCGCTCGCTGCTTGCATAGTGCATTCTTCATCTCTCTTAACTTCACATTACAATAGCATCTCCAGCAGTCACACCCTCGCTTAGAGGCCACCGCCACCCCCTAGCCACCCATCGCTCGTTACCGTCACCAGACTTACCTTCCTTTCGATTTCTAAATCTGGAGTGAGGAGAAAAAGGAACAGAAAAAAGTATGCTCTGTTGCAAGATGTTAAAGACAATCAAGCCAAAAGCTCAAGTCGATTGGCACATTAATTCTATTAGGGCTTTAATTCAGTCTCAGTAAAGGTTTCATGTTACAATTTTTAAAACTCTCATGTATTGAAAACAGTATAGATTATTATCATCACTATAAAACATTTTTATTATCTCTTTTTTCATTTATACTACTCACCCTGTTCCAAATTATAAGATCTAGAAAAACTATGTATGTAGAAAACTCAAAACGTTTTATAATTTAAAAATGAGAGTATGCCATATCAGTTTATATATAATTATATAATTTTATAAAATTCTCATGGAACTCCATTAAAACTGTTACAGCTGACGATAGGATTGTGTGAGCTCAAGTGCGTTCGCCCGATCGATCCTAAACATGGCCCACAGCTAATCATGTAGGTCCCACGCCGGGGCCGGGAATACCAATCTTATCGTTGATTGAGCAAGACTGACAAATCATGTGCTGTTTCCGCCAGACGGAAGAGGTTGACAAAAGGGTTAATTGAGATTCTTGGCTTCTTGCGGGTTCGTCCGTCCTTGGACTGACGGCGGATCGGATCGGATCGCAATAATGACTTAGCTTGAGAGTCAACAATCCAATCATCATACACTGGATCGCAACGGTTTGAAGGTGTTTGGGAGTTCTCCACACACATTGCTCTACAAACTTCACCGTGGAGGAGCTCCACAAAAACCTAGAGTTTATGGAGCACCTCTTTAGGTGCTCTCATAACTTCACCATTTTTCCTCGAACAGAATGCGTGGTGCTGAAACCGTTTTGCTAAAAAACGTGAAGCGGAGCTGGAAAAACATGAAGCGGAGCAGTCACAAACACCCCCTTATAATATTTCTTTTTGTACTCTAATAAAATATCACATTGGGGCTCTATATATATAGATAATAGATAATATTGAGAAATTATCTTTCTTTTCCAAACATAGCATGCGTATTCTTGGGAAAACATTGCTATTTAAAGGCACAGGCAACTTTTTGTTTTTACAAACCGTGGTCACTCAGATAATTATTCGGCCTTTCATGGTGCTCCACAATTTTCAAACAAATATGCTGAAATTTGGTTTATGCTGAAATGTTGTGAGAGAAAAATATTATTCTATGGTTGAAAAGTAGTTCTGAATAAGCTCAAGCGAACATGTTGTTTTGTGAAAACTGTTAGAAGGATTCTTCATAAATTTACCAAAAGTTCTGCAATTACTTCAAAACTAACACTGTGGCCTGTGGGTAATACAATACTCGTATCTTGGAGTAACCTGTTTTCAGATATCCATGCGCGCCATGGTTCAGACTTCAGAGAGAGACAGAGAGAGATGATGCAATCTTTTGAAGGAAGGCAAGGGAATTGAGGATGGACAGGGACACGCACTGGAACAGGAAGATGGCCTCGTGCTGTCGTGCAGCAAAGCTATTGCAAAGCAAAGAAGCTTGCAGTGGGCAGAGCACAAGGGGTCAAGAGCGGTCAAAAAAGGCTGGGCTGCTTCCTTCTTTTGGTCACCTGATACTGGTCAAGCGCAGCATGATTGGAACTGAGGCGGCCTGCCACATAAAGATCTCTTTTTTCTCGGTGATCCTAACTTTACGTTGTGCGAATGTAATTGGTTGCGCATACTTTCTAGGTTATGTAGCAGAGTAGTAGAATTTTCCCTCGAAATCATGGAAGTTCATCGCTAATCCTAGATTCTATTGATTTTTTTAAAGTAAAGATGCCATTTTTCTCCCTAAGTCCAAAGTAAGGTTTTTTGACACGATTTTTATTAGAGCTTCTTCATCGGCTTGATCAAACAATCATGCCAAAGGTGCACACACGTGGTTTATAAAAACAAAAATGGTGAAACAGAAGCCATTTTCGCCATGAAGTCAGAAGTCACAGCAACATGGTTTTTTCCTGGTTTCAACCGTGTTTGGAGAAGCACAAATCCTGCAAAAGAGGGTCTAAGTTTCTTTAGTTAAGGCTTCCGTAGATCAGCTAGAGGTAGTCCAAACAGACATGTCGTGGAAGCAGCTTCTAATCCACACAAGCTCTAGAGCTTGTTTGTTTCCATAGTCTACAAAGCTCAATAAAAGAATCCAGTATTGCTATCATTATCCTATTTAGATCAAACATGCCCTCCCAACAGTTTGGTAAAAATCACTTGCCAAATGTTGTGTTTTGGCAAGTTGCTATAATAATATACCAAGTGAAAAATAAGCTCTCTCCAACAATTTCCTATTTTTAACTTGCCAAAACAAAAAAAAGGAGGGCCCACCAGTTGAGGTTGTTGACTGGTACACCCGACGGCTTCCCTTCGTTCCTTCAAGCGACCCCCGACATCTTCCTACTGTTGAGTGTACACATCATAAAAAATATGACTACACATGATGCGGTAAAGAAATAAAGGGGAACAGTACCATCGTAGACCACATGACATATATATCTACTTGGGCATGAAAACAGAAACCATGGACAGCGTCACCACATCAGATCAACGGCAGCAAACCATGAGAACCATCAGATCAACTACAAGTACTGACTACCTACACAACATACACGCAGGAACATGAAGGAGCGATCTAGTGGATGACATTCAACAATCCATACACAACCCTATACAGAGAGCAGCAACAGACAACCCTAAACGACGGCTACAGCTGAACAAGAGGTGGAACTCGGGCTACGAGATCGAGCAGGCATGGAGATCGACGGGGAAAAGATGAAGCAGGATACCTGATTGCGGAGGCGGCCGGGACCTGATCGGGGTTCTTGGCGACGACGGGTGCTAGGCGATCTCCAAGGACCGATCGGGGTTCTTGGCGGCGGCCGATATCTCCAAGCGCGGCGACGACGGGGTGCTGGGCGCGGCGGCGGCCTGGTTCTTTGGCGCCGTCGCAAGCCACCGATCGCGACGAGGAAGTGGATGCGGTCAACACGGATGGATCGAAATATATGGACACCGGCCGGCCTTGTGGCGCGCGGGAAGAGGCCGCGGAATTGTCCGCGCGCGCGCGGGAAGGAAGTCGGAGATGCGCGGGATCAATATACGAGCGTGGCGACGACAGATAGCAAGTCGGGAAAATTGGCAAGCAACTTTGGCAAACTGTTGGAGAATGATTTTTTGCATGTTTTGCCAAATTTTGAAGGATGGCAAGTCATTTACCAAACTGTTGGAGATGCTCTAAGCTTAGGGATTTTGGCAATTCCAAAGTACGAAGTGCTTGATGATGATGCCTGTGCACAAAAGAATTTTTTTCACAAGCGAATCTTGTGGAAAACCCCACGTCAACTTTAGCAGGGAGGCGCCTGCTACGACAAACATGCCGTCGCCATGAAAGGAGCCATGGAAAAGCGCTTTACATTTCCCTGTCCCTCTCCACTGCAGCTGCAATTTTTTTCTTTCATTTCTTTCAGGGCAGTCCGAAATTCTAGGAAACAGCTGGTGCAATCATCATCATCCAATGCCGGATACAACGCCCAGCGTTAACAGAGATTTTCGCAGAAAGTGCCGCCGCTGCTGCGAGAGAGAAAGTCGAGAGCGCTGGAAAGAAGCAATGGTGGCGTCGCAGGGGAACTCCGCAAGCAAGCGAGCATGACGAAAGAAAGGGGAGCAGGACAGCGTGGAAAACAAGAAAAAGCATTTCAGGCAAAGCAGAGAGCGGCTTGCTCGCAATCATGGAAAGCGGCAGCAGATTCTGCTGTGCATGAGCATGAGCATGAGCTCGCAAGAGATCATTGCTCTCTTTCTCTGACAGCGTGTGTAAAGCAGAGATGAAATCTCAAGGGAAAAATTTTCACCTGTGTGTGTCTGACAGCTCAAGAGTTCCCTTGGATCTTTGGGACCCATCATGGCCATGGCATCGCCCCCCTGAATTCCGTTATCGAAAAGAGTTTGTTTTGTTCTCTGGTGAATGATGCAGGGTAAAAAGAAATGCAGTTTGACGTCACAGCAAACTTGGTATAGTATTATTTGGGGATTCAGACAAGTTCACTCTGTATGTTGCGTGCATCATCATGAATTGCATTGCATCAAAAATACATACCTCTCATACTAAGTACTAGTAGCTCATATAGTAGCAACAAGAAGATGGCAATTAGTTGTAGGAGAGGATTGCTCTTGCTCATATCACACAGTAAGTAGCAGTAGCAGTCGTAGTGGAGATTTAGCTAGATAGATATAGATAGGCAGGAGTACGGTCCGTCGATAGATACAAGAAGAGCTCAAGTCAAAGAAGAGAAAAGGGCGGAGGTCCCTGGCTGCGGCTGGTGGTGGCTAGCTACTGTACTAGAACTAGCTAAGATAAGAAGGAAGAAGAAATGGCTTTGGTGGAATTCGACGACAACAAGTCAGTCAGTCGAGGCCGGACCTGATCCTCTTGTGCCCGGCGGCGGCCGCCTGGCGGACGGTGCCGACGGAGCCGCCCTCGGACGCGGCGCGGCCGCCGGCGGCGGCGTCGGAGGCGGCGAAGAGCGAGGAGAGGTCGGCGTAGAGGTCGACGACGCGGCGGATGTTGTTGTTGAGCTCCCTGATGAGGCCGACGTTGCGGGAGAGGTCGCCGGGCACCTTGGACTCGTGGTTGTGGTTGATCTCGTTGATGAGGAGCCGGTTCTGGTCCAGCAGGGTCTGCACCTGCACGAAGCTCGTCTGGAACGCGTGCAGCGCCTTGGTGTCGACGCCGGGGGCCCCGCCGCCGACGCCGAACGCCGACAGCGTCGTCTCGCCGCCCTCCATGGAATCGGACGCCCTCCTCTCTTAACTGGTCGTCGTCGTCGTCGTCCTGGCAATTCTGCACTCTTGTGGGCTTGTCAGCAGCTGCGGCCGCAGAGTCTGCAATGGAGATGGGGGGAAATTGGTGAGCACGCACGCAACTCGCAAGAGATGGTGGATAAGGAGGATGTGTGCGTTCACTTGTCCACAGAGATTGCAATTTTAATGAGTATACTTTACTGCAGGTCTCTCAGGAAAGAAAGCAAAGGGGCAAAGGGCACTATTGGGGCATGGGAGGACAGCGTACTATGCTACAAGATTAGATGTACTTGCCGAATCTTTCCAGCTTGGGCTCCGAAAAAATCGACACAAATCTCGGAATTAACTGCCGCGATTTCATTTCCCTTCCCTTCCCTTTCTTCTTCTTCCTCGAAGAGAGGGAAGAGAGAGAGAGAGAGTCGCGATCCAGCGAGAGACGAACAACGGATCAAGAAAGGAATTCAGAGAAACGAAAAGGTGGCTGAGGGGAATGATGGAGATCCAGAACTGCGCGGCAGAGTTCCCGAGAGCACGTGGTGGAGATGACCTCGGGAGGGAGGAATCGGGTCGTCCGGCCGGGGCGACGGAGGAATTGAGGCGCGGGCGGATCGGACCGTCGATCCCCTGGCCGAACACGATGAGCGAGAGGAACGAAGGAATGAATCCAGCTGCAGTCAACTCAGCACCAGGACGATTTTTCCAGCAAGAGAGAAGAGGCGGCGGCGGGTGGCGGTGGTGGTGCTTACCTCGTAGCAGTAGTTACTCCTCCTCCGTAGCGTAGCACCAGCACCTCCGGGGAGGTGAGCAGCGTCCCTGCTCTCTGTCTATCCTTCAGATGCTCAGATCATCAGCAGAGGAGGAGAGGGGCTGAGGGGGGAGTCGAGAGCAAGCGAGGGAGCGAGGAGGGGAGGGGTGGAGGAGGTGGATGACGATGCGGAGGGGAGGAGATCAGGAGATCCTCAGACACACGAAACACGCAGGCTGGACCTGGACTGCTTTCACCGGCTTCCTTATTTTTATTGCCGGACAATGTTTTATCTATCTATTTATATTATTTGTTTATATTTATATGGGCTTTGCTTGTGCCATGAATCTGATCACTCATTCTCTCCCATCCCACAATCTATCTTTTCGTATTGTAGCGATTCCGTTTGCTACGCCAAAAGTATTGTACCTACTCTTTTCGGCCCGTTACGTTTGAGGTTATTCGCCAGAATTAGCTCTATTTTTTTTAAGTCATGAAATAATATTTTTCTCTCACAATAAATTAGTCGTAGCAGTCATAAGTCTTGCCGAACAGGACCGACCCAGGGTGTAGAGTAGTACAGTTGAATGGCTTTACCGGAACCTTTTCGACCGGAGCAGGGAGCAGGGTGTATTTCATTCAGAGTCAAATTTTTTGGAATTACCGAATTGCCAGACAAGCTAATGTGCCGTCCATCTACTACATTCATATAAATGTTAAAAATCATCTTCCCTGCACATGCAATTCAAAGTTTCAAACTTTCCAGCAATTTTTTTTCTTCTATACTCTTTCCTTTTTCTTTTTCAAGGATGTGCAGGCACTCAATGGAAAACATTTAATATATCATACAATTTTGCTAGCATTGTATTCATATCTAAAACCACTTCTACGTTTCATAGTCATAGACATTACAATAATATACTGTGACATATTAGTAATGTTCATTGCAGACTGAAATAGTGCTTTAGTCAAGCACGCGTCCATGACACGCAAGGGCAAGCTCTTCGTTAGATTCTGTTTTTAGTAAAATAGTGATTCAAAAACTCCAACCTTCTTTGAGCCCCTCTACGGTGTACCACAGTCCAAACAGACTCTTAGTAAGGATATCTTCAATGACAATTTATGAGTAACAGAAGAAAGATAGAAACTATTTTTTTGAGCAACAGCTAATTTTATGAACGCACTCTTAAGATAACGTAAGGTTTTCATTGTATGATTATTTACATTATGAGTCATATGCCAAAAGTTCGCACGGTTGAGGATTTCGTAATGCACGCATCCACGACGCAAGGAAAAAAAATGCTTGCTACGATTCATGTACATGTGTTTGGTACCTGTAAACAGTGGTGGACCTGGGGCCAAATCCTGGCGGACAAAAATCGAAGGCCACAGTACAGTCTATAGGACCATATGGCCCCGTTCGGATGGTATGGTTCTGAAGGAATTTGAATGGTTCGGAGGAATTATGGATGAATTTGTGAGAGAAAAACACTGTTCTGGATGAAAAAAAAAGCGGATGAAGCCGGGTTTAAAGGCACGCGAACGAGGCCATAGTAGTATATATATATATGTATGTCACATAAAACAATTATTCTCAAATAAAGTTTGCAAATCGAGAGAATTTCTACATCTATATAGTTAATAGTACGACACAATAGCTAAGAAATATCATGGAACATTGAAAATAAATACCTATTATCTAGTGACGATTTGGTTCATTCACATTGTCCACTTCCATGTCCTCAATAACAACTCCTAATAAGAAAAGGAGCAAGTAAAAGGTTAATAAGAAAATGATCAAGTTGTGGCAGAACCTTCTAAAAAATCGGGCCCACGTGCACCTATCGATGTCTCAACAGACCTCAGATAGCATACACAAGTTCCCAACAACTTAACAGATCTGTCGGGTATCCTCGGGAAACCCGAATCATCCACAAATCTTTTCCAAACAGGATCCCAATCACAGTCATTACAAATTACAACAGTTTTCAATATACATACCAGAGATTATAAAGCGGAAGACTTAAGTTTTGATATTACAAACCAGTTGTTTCAAACTTACAAAACCATACGTGTCATACAACCATAGTAGCGGGATAATATTACATTAACATTATTTATTTCACACAAACTAGTGCCCTGTCCAAAGGCCATTCATCATTGCTTATCGTCATCGACTTCAAACACTGACATGCAGCAGGGACCAAAACAAGCCTGCACATGCGACTCACCTGCAACAAGGGTTAACAAACCCTGAGTATAAAAGTACTCAACAAGACTGACCCGACGAAAAAGGGCGAAGGTCTTAGGGATGCAGGTGTTGGGTCAAGGTAAGGATGTAAAAAGATTCAAAAGTTTTTTGCTAAAAGGTTACTATTCTTGATCCTAGTTTCAAGTTTTATCCCTAAGTACTTTAGTTCAATATCTTAAATTAAGTGTTCATATCACATGTTCCAATCCTTCTCATTCCATTCCTTTTCTCAAGTTTTAGTAATTCACCAGTCCTACATTGCTTCTGTAATGAATCGAGTCTCCATATCCACGGAGCACCGGCAATTCGAATTGATTCAAGTCCCAGCTAGGGATTCCTTATCACACGACATATGTAGAACTTAATCTTGCATATATCAACCTCGCTACCGGATCCTCCCGTAGTAAGCCGTCTCCACGCCACCCGAGAGCACAGCACGCCTCAAATCCGGCCACATTCAAGCCACGAGGGTACACGCTACTCCCGCCATCTCACCACTCCCAGTGCGTGGGCATTCGTCTTAGTATCGGTTTAGCCGAAGTAGGCTTACCGGAGTATGTGACTAGTACTACAAAGTGTCTCATTCAGAAGATCCACAATGAGTGGCCTTTAAGCGACATAGTCGGCAACATTACCCAACATTCAAGATAAGCCACCCGACTAGTCTCTAGTTCATTCTATCTTCTTTCTTTCTTTCTTTCTTTCTTTGGCCAATATGCCATCTTTGATTGTATCGAAACTTTTACTTTGAAAGCCTACCATAAAGCATACTAAGCATTCTACGCCTTTGTAAATGAAATCATCTTCAAGGATGGTCAACAATTAATAAGGTAGGCAATGCATCAAGTAGGTAACATTTGAATTAATCAACTTAATGCAATAGGTAACATAGGTGATAAACTTTTCAAAGTAAACAAGGTAATGGTTTAATGCATAAACCGGGGCTTGCCTTCGTTGACGATCTCAGGTTTCGGATCAGCACCACTATTATCGAATCCCATGACAACCGGGGATGCTTCCAGAACTTGCTCAACTAGAATCGGTTTACTCTCGGATTCTACACGAAATAATAGCATATGCTTCAACATGATGATAATGTAAACATGGTGCTTTCATGGTGCATGAAATATAACAACACCTTGAAAGCAACTTTCCTTCACGGTACAGTTACAAGCCAAACTAACCAAACCATATTCATAACGGATGTGACCACGTCAGCACCGACCACTCCGGCGAGCTCTCCGACCACTTCGGCGAACTCTCCGACCACTACGGTGAACTCTCCGACCACTACGGTGAACTCTCCGACCACAACTCTTGAAACCCTACTGGTCACAAAACATGATCAAAACAAGATCAAACACTAATCAAACACTTAGGGTTTGCTTTTATTTATTTTTGAATCAATTTGGAAATAAGCCCAAAATAAACTTGTCCCAAATGACCTCAAAATTTTATGTAAGCTTCCTCATGACAAATTAGTGTACCAAAATAAATTTCTAAAGATTCAGCACTATTCAAAATTAGAAGATATAAAATTTCACTGTTCTTCTCCTTCCTTCTCACTAACAGCCCAACCCCACCCGTCAGTGACCCATACATGTCACGGCGGCACTGCCATCACTGGCCGGCCCCAAAATGCACCGACGGTGACGCTCCGGCGAGACAGACCTCACCCAAATAATCTACACACCCCTACAAACTCATCCCCGTCCTTAGAATAACAGAAGGTGCACCGGAGAAGACTCCACGCCGGCCATGGCGGCTCGAGCACGTCGGCTCACGACGTAACCTCGGCAAGAATGCGGTAGAGTCAAAAGCAAAGTGTACATCACGTTCAGTAGCTCACCACGGTCACGCCGGTGGACTTGGTGAAGGCGGAGACGATCTGGAATGGCCTGACCACGTCGAGGCGATGGTGGCGGAGCTTCGGCCGGGCTTGGGGAAGAAGCTGTTGCGCCGGGCGACTCCGGCCAACTCAAGCGGCGT